GCCAGATATCCTTCACTTCCGGTACAATTCACCTCATCAAGCCAGATTGGTCCAGTACCTTCACCAAAGAAGGCAGCTGAAGGAGCACTCTGTGCTGAACCACAGCCTAACTGTCTGCAGACCACCTCAGCATCATTTATGCCCCAGTTATCATCACAGACTGTTCCCCAGGTGTTGTTGTGGTATATTTCAACTCTTCCAGAGCATCCCTGACTTGATCCAACCAATCTGATTGGATCTACATAAAAACAAAAGATGCAAAACATGAGTATCTAAACATTAAACAGAAAATTTGTGCCTCTCACAGAAAAGTGAGCTGACCTGTTGCTGATGATGAGGACAAGAGAAAAGAGACTGAAACAAACAAAGAGTGAGACATTASTGTTTGTTATTTAGGATTCTAATTGTTAATAATATTAGAGATCATATCCCTTTGGAGAAAATAGACACAAGTCGTCAGTTTGGGCTGAATAAGTTGAAAGACAAGAATGTATATATSGAGCTTTCAGTTATCTGTGAGCATCAATTAAACACAAACAGAAAAGTGACAAAGAAACACTCATAGCAATACACTGAAGGTCAATTTATCAAGAGAAGAATTGATTACTGAATTGCTGTCACTCCCTGTGTAAAAGGGTATAACAATGTAAATTCTTTTATGATTTTAGGTAAAAACAAACATTTCTTCATTTTGTAAATRAACTAAATGTTTTAATAGCTAAAGAGTCTAAAGCTAGCAGCATGAATGTTTAATTTATCTTGGAAGTTTCTAACCTACAGCATTTTTTGGTCAATAAGAAGTCAAAAATGTTATAATCTTACCTGAAATGAGTCCAAGAAGACAGTTCAACATGTTAATAACCTTGCAGGTGATCAGGCTCAAAGGATTGAGAACAGAGAGCTGAAAAGCAGAGAATGTWTTACTTCTGAGCAGCAGTTCAGCTTGGCATGGTTTTTAACTTTCATAGTACTGATGCAAATAYAGTAAAATTGAGGAAATTTTAAAACAAGTTTGTGGCATTGTTTACAACATTAAAATATATTTGAATATGCAAAAATAAACAGACATTTGAATAGAATACAATGGAATATTATTTTCACTGTCCGTCAGTAAGAAAGTTCACATTAATGCAGGAGCAGTTCTAAAAGTGTTCTTCAGAAAAGAAGCTACACTAAATTTTCCTCATCTCACAGTCTGTGTAAAATGTTATCACGTTGATGAAGTAACAAAGTATCAATGAATACATCCAATTTCAGTCAGGTTTTATGTAATTTGAAATCACCAGCGAACATAAATCTTGTGTCAGATGTAAACAGGAAGTGGAGTCTGCATTTTTATGCAAATTAACTCATTGTATTGGTTGACTATAAGTCTCTCTTTACATCAGTTTTTTGAAGCATCACCAGAATTTGTGACAAAAGATCAGTGCCTTTGAATTTGTTCTTTTCATTTACTGCTGATGAGTGAGTCTGATAGCATCCTGTTTATGAATCCTCTGTGTGTCGTCAAACAGCAGAGACCAATAGAAAATTGAGTTTTCTACAGTGTGTTTAATTTATCATCGGAAGAGTCCTCGAAGAATTTCRGGCCCAAATGACTTTGTGGGGTTTGACCTTGAAGACAGTCCCTCACACAGAGTCCASTTTTGAAGACTAAAAGGAAATCATCCAGTGAGTCACAATCACATATTTATCCTGAGATTTTTACACAAAAGACTCCTGACTCCTTTAACTAAATCTTTYGAGAAGTAAACATGATCAACCTGCTCGTTTACACTGTCTTATTGTGCTCTTTTACTGTCATTTAGGAGAATATTTCCTCCATGAGCCACAGCCCTGTATCAATACAGAAACAATGCTGCTCAGATCGCTGCAACAATACAGCTGAGGAGTTTCAGCACAATTGTTGTGGATTGAGTGACGCTGTGTGGTTTTTAATTCATGTTTAGAAACCTCATCCTCCCCTTTTCCATTGTACTTGTAATTGCAGCTTGATCAATATTGTGTTACTTTTACATGTCATGACTGAGTGCTTGAKATACGCAGCTAATATAACTGTTTGCAGTTTGGCTGATTGGTTAATATTTACCTGACATGATGGACCCACAGAAGCAGATATCTTATTTATGGGTTTGCAAGCACAATAATAACATAATTAAAATAAAGCTGATATGTGACAGTAACAATAAAATTATTCCAAAAATGCTACTACCACATCACACTTTGGGTTAATATCTGTAAAACGGACTGAGCTATAGCCATTTTTGTTTTTTAGATCAGTTTGTTGCTTAAATTGTGTTGATTCCAAAGCTAACCAGTTGCTGATGCTTATTTAGAGATTATTTTCTGGGAGTTTGGTCAAAATTTGTTCATTTGTTCATGAAATATTTTTCTAAAACTACAGACTAAAGCATATGTATAAACAGACTTTATTGCAAGCTGACAATAAATGAAACATCTCATTGGTCTATCAATATATACAGTGGTTTGCAAAAGTATTCATACCCCTTGAACTTTTCCATATTTTGTCACATTACAACCACAAACATAAATATATTTCACTGGAATTT